TGTCCCTGCACTATAATCAGTCAAACTCGAGAGACAAACTAGACATATGAGGGGGCCCTACATTATAAGGCCCTAAATGTCAAGACTGAGAGCAAAGACTTTCAATCCAGGATGGAGCCCACTGCATGACTTGGACAGATTAGTTAACCACCCTAAGCCTTAGTTTCCTTATGAGTACTATGGGGATGCTGATAAGTACAAGCCTCGTATAATATTGTATAATTTTAATCTATTTCTATATGCCCCATAAAAGGAAGAATCAGGTTTCTAGATGCTCAGGGGAGAGCTGGTCATCAAGAGCTGGTGTGCAGAAGGACGTTGTGGAGGAAGACTTATTTCCTGTTTCCATGTTATCTCAGGGCCTTCAGTACAGCTTCATGCCCACTGCCTCGTGAATGGCACCTTCAGGGTCACCTTCCAGGACTCATCCTCTTGGATATCACTGTGGATTTTGACACCACAGACTGGCTTTTCCTCCTTGAATTTCTCTCTTTCTTCTGTGATGCACATTGTCCTCTCCCCTCTTGACTCCTCTCTGTCTTCTTTCCCGACCCTTCTCACTCCTCCTGCCACTTAGAAGAAAACACTTCCCATCAATGTCCCCCTGACTGCTTTCTGCACACGCTCTCTGGATGGTCTCACCTTTCCCTACTCTCTTTATGGTTATGACTTCCAAGCGTGCGTCTCCAACCCTCTTTCCTGGGCTTCATATCTATATTTCTAACCAAGTTTTACCTCTTCTTTCAGTAAGTGTGATGGTTTGGATGTGAAGTGTCCCCCAAAAATTCACACGTGAGACAATGCAAGAAGGTTCAGAGGAGAAATGACTGGGTTGTGAGAGTCTTAACCTAATCAGCTAATTAATCGCCTGATGGGGATTAATTGAGTGGTAACTGAAGTGATAGGGTGTGATGACTGAAGGAGGTGGAAATTGGGGTGTGGCTTTGGGATATATATTTGTATCTGTGTTTCCTGATCACTGGGATGTAAGCTGCTTCCCTCTGCCACCCTCTCCCACCATGATGTTCAGCCTCACCTCAAGCCCTGAGGAATGGAGGTGGCCTTCACTCTGAAAGGGTGAGCCCTCAAATGAATTTTTAAAGTTGTTCTGGTCAGTTCCTTTAGTCACAGCAGTGAAAAAGCTGACTAAACAGTCAGTATTTATGAGGGTCCACCATGTGTTTAAGAAAGACATGGTCTCTGCCCTTATGGGTCTTCCATTTCAACCAAAGGAACCATCACTAAGCAGCCAGCCACACTATTAAGTATGTAATTATACTGTGACAAGGGATACAAAGGGGAATAAACGTCCACCTGCCCTACTCCTCCTCCACAGTCAGGAGAGGCACAGAGGATTAGGGTTCCAGGCAAACCCTGTTAGGTGAGTGGACATGAAGGGAGGGAAGAGGATTAACAGATTCCTGGCAGGGAGGACATATGGGCTGAAGCCTGAGCCAGGAAGGCGTGGGAGAGTGGGAAAAACTGAGAGAAGGTTGATGGAGTCAGTGGGCTGCAGGAAAGTCATGGGGGAAAAGAGTGACAAATGTGGCTGAAGACAAGCAAGGGCCGTGAGGCACATGTTAAAGATGTGGGTCAGACTCTGCAAGCTTGAACAAGGTGCAATGACCACATTTCTTTTGAGAGGGCAGTCCTGCTGCTGTGTGGAGAAAAGGAGTTGAGACTGGAACTGGAGTTAGAAGGTGATGGAGACCCTAGAGTGAAGATTAAGAGTTTGGACTAGGGTCATGGCAGCAGAATTAACTAGAAGTAGCTGGGATCTTGAGGTTAGTAGGTCAAACCTGCATGATTTGGTACTGGATTTCAGGAAGGGGTGAGGAAGAGGGAGGGGGTCTCCAGACAATGGTTATGAAGTTTCTGGCTGGTTCACTGATTCACAGAGCAAGGGAGCACTGGAATGTGAATAAGAAGCAAAATGTTGACCATCTTGCGGGACAGATCTCTGAATGTGGAGCTGATTTTTCAAATGCGTGTTGGAGGTAATTCTGAGAGCCAAGTGGAAAGGTGGAGCAGGAGGTTGAGTATGTGGAGCTCAGAAGACGGGAAGTAGAGATACAAATGTGGGAGTCACCCCTACAGGGGTTGGCTTAGAAGAATACAGAATGAGAAAGGGACAGGGCTGGGAGAAGTCCGGTCTGTAAGGATCATCAAGAGGACTGTGAGGAGTAGCTGAAAGGTAGGAGGAAAACTGGAAGGCAAAGAGGCTGCTAGAAAGGAGCCAGGAGAGTGTTGGAAGGAGAGGATGCCTGAGACAAATATCATGAACCGTCAGGAAGATGAGGACTGGAAAATGCCCGATGGATTTAGTGACACAGAGGTCATCAGTGACCTTAGTGAGTGCCATCCTGGCAGAAGAGTGGGGTAAGGAATGAGGGGAGGGTGTAGAGATGGAGGAGAGAATGTAGAAAAAAATGAGAAGGTGGGGGATGAGAGCCTAGTAATATTTCAAGGAAGATAGTTGAACATGCTGAAAATCTCCCGAGAAGGATCCAATGGAAAGGAATCTTCCTTTATCAGGAGGAAGGAGGAGAGAGCAGGTGTTAGCACTGATGCAGGTAGGGGAAGGCTTCATTGTCTAACAAACTCAGGGAGCTCTGATGGAGGTGAGGCAGTTCCTGACAGAGTAGGGGCTGGAGGAAGAGCAAGGGAGGAAGTCGAGGAGATTGGAGTGGGGAAGTAAGTTGACCAGAGGTTCACAGGGGGGGTCATTGGGAAGTATGAGAAGCCCACTCGAGTTTGTGACCACAGGACAGAAGGAGACAGATCCAGTGTGTTTTTCTCCAAAGAACTTTGCATAGAGAAACCAAGTTCAAGAGAAATTGAGTTCAAGGGCAGATGAGATCACAAGTGCAGAGATGCAAAGGCATCTTCTGCTTATCACCTTGGTATCCCACAGACATGTTGTCTCGGTGTATCCCAAATCCATGGTCTTCTACTTCCTTTTTCCAACCTGCTACCCTTTCTAGATTCCCTGTCTTGGTAAATGGCAATACAATTATCTAATAATATTACTAATAATAGTCATTTATTAAGCATTTTTATAGCAGATGTGATACCAGATATTTTAAAATAATCATCTTTATGATCATCATAACAACCTTATGGAGTATGTATTATTCAGATACAGATGTGGATGCTGAGCCTTAGAGAACTTGCTCCAGATCTCTAGGGAATGGCAGTCAGGATGAAAACTCAGGTCTGTCACACTCCAAAGTCCTGCCCCTTTCCCAATGCCACACCACCTTCAAATTCCCTTGCCTGGAAGGAACTGATCTCTGATGCTTTCTTCCCTCTTGCCTCCCACACCACCAGAGCTGTCACACTGTATTTGTTCACCTCTGTCATATCTCCTGCATCATTTGTTACTTCCTGCCATGTGTATCCACCCTGCTCTGCTTCCCTGGCTGGGTTCACCAGAATGTAAGTTTCATAAGGGAAGGCGTCACGATCTGTCTCTTTTCTGYTGTATCTTCTGGGCCTAGAACAGTTAAGTAAAACACTCAGTGAAACTCTGTTGAATGAAAGAATAACTGTCTATTGGGAAATAATTCACATCAGGAATCCTACACTTCCACAAGTCTGTGGGCAGAGGCACTGACAGTTTTTTGTCCCAGACTATGATTTGGAGATTGTTTTCATAGCAAACTACTTTGGAAGATAGAGATAGTGTCTCCCTCTAGTGGAGGGCAATTGTTTGCTCTTTAATATAATAAAGATACTGTCTGGGGCAAATGATGGATGGGTTTGCTTGCAACCCATTACAAAAGATTGGAATTTCCTAAGTTCTAGGTTCTTCAGTGTGTTTAGTATTACCCAACTCTAGCCCCATATCTCTTCTATAGGACTTGGAGATTAAGGGAAACTGATTTGAATGTGAGCTTCATGCTAACCGCTGTGCTATGAGTAATAAAAAGTCCTTTGTCTCTGGTCTTGGAGTCTCAAGTCTTTTGCCAGCATCCATGAAATCTGTGGCAGGCTAACTTGTTAGATTACAAGAGTAGAATTTCAGAAACCTTCCAAGTTTGGACAATGGCCCTCATTGCCTTTCACTACAACAATTGAGACTTCATCTCTCAACCTACCCAAACACTTGCCTCTGATGTCACCGTTCCTCTTAGTGTCCCTTAGAGCAGAGATAATTCATTCCACGCTTTAGTGCTGGTAGGATGTCTCCTGTCTCCCTGACTTCACCTCTAATCACCCCAGTCCTGCTCCAGCTCGGGCAACCCCACCCCCGCACACCCTCTCTGCTTTTGCATTTATACCCTTGGAGTGCTGTTCCCTCCGCAAGAGCTGACCTTTCTCTATTCTGTCTATACATCATTTGAAGGTAGTATCTTCCAACGCCTGCTCAGAGCCCAGCCAGAATGTCCTCCTGCCCTGTCTCCCTCCCCACCCGCCACATTTACTCATCTGGTAGGGCCCTTCAACCCTTCTGGTTTGTGTGGTTACTACCTGGGTAAACATTCCTCTAGAGCTTCCTTTCCCTCTATTTAGATCCTCAGTTTTTGTAGTCCCTGCTATACAGTAGGAGCTCAACAGATGAGCGTTGTGCTGAAAGAGTGCAAGGAACGGCCTTGCACGGTGGTTTCACGGAAGGTCATTGGAGGGGAAAAGGCATTCTAAGCGAAGGGGACACGTACCATCTAAGAAGCAAGAACCACTTTGGGTGGGATTGAGTTTATGAAGGAAGATCCAAAAAGGTGAGTCTGAAAAGAAAGTGAGGCCCGGGGTTCTGGAGGACTTGGATCATTTTGAAGCCCCGGTGAGAGCACCAGGGTCTGGGTCCCCCAACCAGGGGCTTCACGAGGCTGCGGCCCCGCAACCCCCTTTCCCGCTCTCCGCCTACCCGCTCCGCCTGCGTCGGCCATCAGAGCCTCGCTCGCGGCCCGAGAGCCTCGCATTGACGCGGGCCCGCGCGTGAGTCAAGCCTGCGTCACGGCGCCCCGCCGCCAGGGTGGCCTTTCGGAAAGCGAGGGAACAGTGCACGCTGCGCTCCGCCCAGCTCCGTTCCGCTCCGCAGAGCCGGCGCGGCCAGGGCGCGGGGAGGGCGGCACTCAATCCCGGCCTTCGCAGCCCCTCGCGCCCCCTCCGCCGGGGGACCCGGGTCCCCAGGCCGCTCCTCACATCCCCGAGCGCGCGGAGGGCGGGAGAGGGATCGGGACTGGCGGCGAAGGAGGGAGCGAGGAGCTAGCGGAGTCGCGTGCGCCGGCGCGCCGCCCTGGGGCCCCTCCAGCCCCGGACCCGGCCTGTCGCCATCAGACTTGGGCGGCCCGTAGGACAGACTTTGCACCCTTGATCGGTCAGGGACCGCAGCTACTCGGCCGGAGTGCAGGGCCGAGTCAGTGCGACGGCCCACGCGGGACAGGTGAGTCGCCGGCCGCGCCCCGCCTGGCTTCATCCGACCAGGCGCCGCAACTTTGCCTATTCTGGCCCCGCCCSGGGCAGGAAGGCCTATGGACCGAGGTGCGAGGCGGCTGTACCCCGGTGTCCGCCGGACCCAGTGCTGGCGCCGGGCTCCTCCCGCTGCTCCAGCCGTGGTTGCCTGGCGACGGAGCCCCCGGTCCCCGATAGTCCGGCGCATCAAGGGTGTCCAGCAGCGCACGTAGGGGTTGGACATTGGGCTTCAGCTTCTGGGGCTCAGAAGGGCCCCAGAACTCCGGAGGTAATTTGGCAGAGCTGCAGGGGCAAGCGCCCGCTGAGGACCARGGAGGAGGCCAGCCTGGCGGGTCCCGCCGCCTAGAGCTGCGCGCCCAGGGCGCAATTCCGCCGGAAGGCTCCTGCACTCCTGGGGACCCCGRCCCCAGCCACTGGGCCTCGGGCCCGTGACCTTGACAGTAACATTGGCAAGAGGAGCAGAGMGCTCACGCCCGATGTGAATATTTAATTCCCAGTCCTCGGGCCGGTCCTCGCCGTTCCGAACTAGAGGGGAGCCCTTCCTCCCTCTAGCAAAGCGCATCTTGGAGCAGAAAGGCAGAAATAGGGGACATACACCGGGTGCCGGCCGATCTRGAGGGGGCGCCTTACTCGGAGAATGGCTTCTGTCATATTTATACCTGTGCGCGGTGCTCCGAAAGGATGTTTGCGGTAGTCCGGGGAGGGCCGCTCCCCCAGGGGCGAGGCCGCCTTGGAAGGAAGCCGGATGTTTCCTTTTAAAGCCCAAACAACCTTGTCAGGGCTCCAAGTTCAGAAGTCCTGAAGCCACTCACCCTGTCGCTGTCAAGTGTGTACTTCTTTTTGAATTTGCTCCTATTCATCTTTCTTATTTTTGAGAAATATATTAATAGGCCTTTTGTTTTAGGAAATTTCTAATCAAAGCTACATTTGRGGCAGTTCAACTGTGATCAAGAGGCAGGTGGGGTTGGGTTGGGGAGATGCAGGAGTGGGGTAGAGTTGGAAGATTCTTTTGAAGGCACTGCCCTTGTTAACAGGAACTTCCAGGAACTGAGAAAATCTTGTAGTGGCTCCAAAAAAAAAAAAAAAAAAAAAAATTCAATCAAGACTTTAGTGTCTGTTAGGCTTTGCTGGGTGTGCCGATCACTGTCTGGAGAAAAAGGAGGTGAACAGTGGGGCCTCTTATGCCTCACACTGAGCTTACATTATCTCATGGCAGCCTATGGTGGGTCTATCTCCTGGGCTGGAAGGGCTTTGCGGTCACACCTGGTTGTCCTTGGCCATGGCCCATCCATGGGGCGATCAGAGGCTCTATCTCCTCTGCCGGGCTTTTTCTCTAATGGAACAGCTGTGGCTAAGTAGGTGGTTGAGTTTCAGCAAATCCCTGCAGCTCAGCCTGGTGGGTGACTCAATGCAGGAGGCAAATCGTGCCCACCAGCTCTGATTGGAGGGAGTTTGTTTGGTCTGAGTCATACAGAGTCGTGTGTCAGCTGCTGTGAGTTCAATGAAGTTCTTTAACAGGACTCGTGAGCAGGAATGGCCTGAGCCCCAAGTGTTTTGGAGCCACTGGCTAAAGATGGGCAAGTCCTCAACTGAGTAGAGCGCAGGCTGCCTGGCTGCTGGGCAAGAACCCCGGAACTYCCACCCATGGGAGAGGGTGAACAGGACCAGGCTGGGAAGTGATTTTGAGGGGAAATCTAGGGGGGGGGGCTTGTTGTTGTGGTCACAGCTGGGCCCAGTGCTCTGCCATGTGCTAGCAGAGTGACCTTGGGCAAGTCACTTTACTTCTGAAGCCTCTATTTMCTCACTTGTAAAGCGGGGTGCCTATGGTAGCTTTTCTTTTTCTTTGGTGATGCCGGGAATCGAACCCAGGACTTTGTGCATGCAAGGCAGGCACTCTACCAATGGAGCTATATCCCCAGCCCACTATGATACCTTTTCTGCAGGCTTATTTTGAGCCCAGTGCTGGACAGATAGTGGACGCTCGTTAGATGTTAGTTCTCCGCTCCTTACCTTATGGATCTTAATCACAGGAGACTCTTTCTTTCTATCTCTGCCCTTGAGTGCAAAATAGGGGTATATGGAAGGCTGAGTAAGTGTTGGAGTGTGGAAGTACAGCTGTACTGAATCTTCTGGGTGCCTATGACCACTTGCAATCGCTCCAAAGTGAGACTCCAGGACACACTTTGCCTCCTTGGGATTGCTCATGACTGTGGCCTGGTCCCAAGCTGTGGCACTTGCTGGGTGGACTTCAGGGGCCCCACCTTCTTGAGCCAGTCTTGCCATCCCTCTTCCCACTTGTCCTATCCATAAAAGAGTTGGCAGGTGCAAGGGAAGTGTTAAGGGAGAGGCGAGGCTGGCCTTTCCTGGAAAGGAAAGGGAAGACTGGGTCTCCTACTTTCCTGGGGACCCTGGGCCCCCTGCTTCTTCCCTCTGTAGTGCGTGTAGACTTGCGGCTGAGCTAAGGTGTGTGCACGTCAAAACTGAAGGTTGCTAGAGGACCCTTACTCAGTACAGCAAGAATGAGGCCATGCCGACCCAGGGGACTCCAGTCTGACACTGGAAGTGTGTGTGTGTGTGTGTGTGTGTGTGTGTGTGTTGCATTCACCATTCACCCTGGAGCCAATGCCCTCCTCATTTTACCTGGGAACATATTCCAAGGCTGATGAAGACAGAGATGAGAAGATTCTGGAGCCGCAGCATCTTTCTGCCTGGGCATCCTCTCTCTCCTTATATTCTTCCTGTCCASCTTTGCTGCAGCAGGACGATTCATCATTAATCCCTTTAAAACTGCTAAGATAAGCAGCAGAAGAGTTTAAAGGGAAGGTGGATTAGAGCTTTTTTTTCCCCCTAGACAAAGTCTGAGTTATCACTTGCTCCCAGGCTGGCCTGCAGGAAATATTCACAGCCAAACATCTAGAGCACCAGGGTAGGAAAAATCCCTGACATCTGAGACCCTAGGCCAGCTTCCTTCAMATGATGTCCCAGGCTACCAGAGTTCCAGTCCCAGATTGCTAGAGTGCTTGCTGCCCAGGACGGTGTTCTGTGGCAAAATGCCCCCTTTGTATACTTTAATAGGGGCGAGTGCAGCTCTGGATTCTCACTGCTCGTGCAGCGATAATATCCCATTTTTTTTTTTTTTTTTTATTGAGGCTTCTGTGCTGTGCTAAGTGCTTTATTCACAGACTATCTTGTTTCTTGTTTAATCTTCACTACAATCCCAGGAGACCAATATTGCTATCTGCAGTTTATAGATGTGGAATGTGAGGTTCAGAGAAGTTAAGTAATTTGCTCAAGGTTGCACAGGTAGTGAGCAGCAACCTGAAACTGGTATTCAGGTCTGTTAGATTTTTAAACTTAATGCTCTTAACGACTGTGTGATGTTTTCTTAATAGGYGCTTTATAAGTGTTTGCTGACAGTCGAAGCATTTACCCAACCAAATGAGGCTGTCTGAACCTGTGGGTTCTGTTCTTCATGCTAGTGTCCTGAAAAGAGGCAAACGGGCCTCTACAGTGGGAAACTGGTTAAAAAAAATATGAACGATCCAAATTTCCAAGGATTGAGGAATATGATGTTTGGTTCCAGGTGGTCTGGAATCCACAGAGAAATCCCCAGCTCCATCYTGGCACTTCCTGTCCTGTCCATTGCTGGGTGGACTTCAGGGGYCCTTTCTCTTTCTGACTTCATTYCTTGGACTTCGTGTCCGAGTCAGGGGTTGGTTCCTGGAGCAGGGGGAGAAGAGTCAGAGCTGGTTGAATGCTGCCCTGAGAATTTCCTGCATCTGCAGAATCAAGGACGCCAGTGGCTGGCGGGAGCTCTGTGGGTCAGGTTTCTGTGCCAGACAGTGTGCCAGGGATTCTCAGCAGTGTCGGATAGGCCCCAGACCCACAGAAAAACTGCTAGGACTCAGGGTGATTGACAGCAGCTGCTGGCAAGGGCTGCCGAGAGGGATGCACCTTGCTTCCTGGCCTTGTCCCATGGAGACCCCCTCTCTTTACCCCTAGGCCTCTGCCACTTGAGTTCTTGGCTGTTCTGGGAAACCTGGAATCTGATTCTTCCTGCCTGTCTCCTCTCTCTCTGAGAAATGGCCATCTCTGGAGGCGCCGGCCCAGCCTGTCCTAGCCCGTCTGCCATCTCCAAGCCACTGGAGATCTCTGTGGAGAAGTTCCTGTAAGGGAGGGTGGATAACTGGATTGTAAGCATTAGTGCTCCCCCACCCCCCAGTGGACAAAGAGGACTTCCCAGAAGCCCTTGCTTCAGAGGCAGCCATTTTGTGGAGGTGTGATCCTTTCATAATTCTTTTTTTTTCTTCTTTTCCTCCCATGAGCAACTTTTTAAAAATTAAAATGTTCATCTGTGGGTAAATCTAGCTACTTCAAAATATATAATTAGATATTCACTCTGTACAGAAAACTCATTTGTGCAAACATAAGCTCAGCCAGGCATGATGGCACATGCCTGTAATCCCAGCGGCTCAGGAAGCTGAGGCAGGAGGATCGTGAGTTCAAGGCCAGCTTCGGCAACTTTGCAAGGCCCTAAGCAACTTAGCGAGACCCTGTCTCAAAATGGAAAATAAAGAGCTGGGAATGTGGCTCAGTAGTTGAACCCCCACTGATTTAAAAAAAAAAAAAACAACATAAACAAAGAAAACACACTTAGATGCAATGTGAATTATTGTACTAAATTATTCTCACGTTCAGAGCCAGGAATGTTTTGTTAGAAAATAATTCTGGATTAGGTGAGTCTTAGGTCACCRGAGTCCCCAACTAGTTTTTTGTCCTATGGCTTTTGTGGAGTGGAAGAAAGGCCCACCTAGGGCCAGAGGAGCAAATGTTCATCTCTCAGGCCCTGGGGTTACCTCCTCATCTGTACTGTCCCACAGAGCCACCATGCTGCCATCTAGAGCCCACCCAGCAGTTCATCTAAAGGTAATGAATTACCTCTTACTCTACTCCATCATTTCTAATTACTGA